TTCCTGCTTGTTTCTAGGATGTTTTGGTATTGTATTGTCTGAATGCATATTTTTCAGGACCAGAGAGAGAATAAAGAAATGGGAATGAGATGCCAGAAAGAGAGCCCCGTCCCGTGCCTAAGTTCTTCCGCGGCCTCTAGATTTCCCCACCTCAGGCTGATGAACCTCTAATTCATCCCGAACTAAGCCAGTGGCCTCATTTCTTTCGAAGACCCCAGAAACACGTCCCAGAAACTTATCCGGGTCATACTTCCGCACCATAGAAATTTACCCCATGAGTCCCATGGTCTCCAAGGTGGTAATTAACCCAATAATCAGATCTCTGAGCTGCAGGAGAGGATAGAGTTCCACACCTCACTTCATGACTACTCTAGGTCATTCGTGGACATTTCATCAACAACTTTAGAAGATAGTGCTTCCTTATAGCACCCTTGGACGAGCCAGTTGGTTTTAGTATTAGCAGTAGTAGAACTCTATGTTGTATAAGTCACAGCTTACCTAGCCTAGGCCTGTCAGAGCAAGTACCAAAACCTGAGGGAGTCTGATATATGTGGCCTTTGAAGCTAACGAGCCTGAGTTCAAATCACCTCTATCACTTATGTATTATCGAACTTGGGCAAGTCTTTTAACTGGCCTGTGCTTTGATTTCCTCATTCATAAAACAAATATAATAGTAGTGCCTATAGATAACAGAATTATTACGAGGATTAAATAAGATTCAAGAGGACGGCACCATTCCTGGATATAGACTAAGCACTCAATGTTCATTATATATCTTACTATTATTTTTTCTTTTCAGAGCTGCTGCTTCTTTGGGTTACATGGTTCTGTCATGGTTCTGTCCTTAGAACCAACAAGAACTAGTGGGAGTCATAGAATATCAAGGTGTTAGCCCTGGAAAAGATCTCAGTACACTGATTTTCAGACTGGGCCCAGTGGAAACCTGGGGACTCTGTCAAGGGGGGAGAAAGAAAGGGCTAGAAGCACAGGGCCCACCCTATATTTAACCAGAGCATCTCTCTCCTAACTGTTTGACACGCGGTGTTTCCATAGGAGATTTCTTTTAAAGAAAGGTTTTCACCATGGGACACCAAGGAGGACAAAAAGAGGTTGAAAACCACTGAATTATAGTCCAGCCTCCTCACCGTAGTCATGAGATGTGTGGTGACTGGTAATTAGCTTACTGATGCTGGTGTGTTTTTGAAGCAAGCAGTTGTAAATTAGCCTTTCAAATGGAAAGCCATCCCTCTTGCTCGCCAAGTTCACCTTCCATTCTTGGTGCTTTGTTCCGTCTTATTGGTTCTTGTGCATTTTGTTGGGTGGGAGACTGACCCCTCTTTCAAGAATATGTGACCTGTAACCTTGCTTAATGGCTTCTAACTCACTTAGGGATAATTTGCCCTACACAAGTCACCCATCTGTCATGGCCAGCCTAACATTCACTTCAGTGCAGGGCAGTCCAGGCCCCAACACCAGTAACTGACACATCTCACCCCAGACAGAGGTCACACTAAGAGCACTCTTAGGTCACAGACTCAATTATAGTGAATCCTTTTAAAAGCACTTTACTTCTAAGACTGCCCTCATTGAGATCCATTGTTAAGGCTGAAAATGTTAAGAAAAAGAGAGAACATTTTGCATAACCATGGTCTTCTCAGATAAATTCAGTGAGAGGAATTTCATTCCTGGTGAGAGAATGAGGTTATTAAGTTTTATGAAATGAGCACCATTTATCCTTATTTTCCCTCCAAGTACCTCTTACTTGGTAGCTGCAGTTACTTTATGGTGTCAGACTGTGATCATAAATAATAGGAAGACACATTTTTTTCTCTGAAGTAGTGTACTTTTCAAGCTGCACACATTACCATGGCATTATATTATTACTAGAGAGATCAGTAGGTCCTGGTGAGAACACTCAGCTTGAAGGCTCCAGTGACACACTGCAGAATCCTCATGGTTCATGTGTACTGGAAATAAAGTCAGAATCCTCTAACTAGCTACAGCCAATGCCTTGTAAACACAGTTGGTTTTGTGAGGGTCCGTCCTTCTCAGAAACATAGGATGACCCCTTCTTTGCTCTGGTGGCTCTGAGATGGTCAGATGTTAGATCCTGAATAACCTAGAATTTAACTGATCCTGGTTCCTTATCACTCTCCTCTCTCCTAAGAGAAATCTTACAGGAGATCCAGAGGCTGCGGCTGGAACATGAACAAGCTTCTCAGCCCACTCCAGAGAAGGCGCAGCAAAACCCCACTCTTCTGGCAGAACTCCGGCTCCTCAGGTAAGAGAGGGAGCCAGAGGCATCTCAGGGATCCAAGTACTTGAGATCTTCAATAACGTCTACCACTGTCCAGCCAGCTTCTGACTTTTATTGGCTTTTTTTTAATAGCACACACCTAATTGCCGAGATTTGGGGGTTTGAAGGAGAGGATGTTTATATTTTATTCTTTCATTTGATACAGAGAAAAAGGAATAGTTCTCTAGGTCAGAAACAAAATCTCTCGCTAGAAAAAATTCAACTCAACTCTTTTTATAGTTATTTGCCCTATCAACAATGTGTTTATGATACAAGTGATCAATAAAACAAACACATAAACAGCTAAGTAAACATCACAGGTTTTTACATTTAAAAATTTACCTGTAACCTGTAAAAGGGAGTCTGATGTTTCTTCGCCCCTGATAACTTTACTTACAGATCTTTAAAAATAGACTTCACACCTTCTTGTTCTGCAAATGAGTTAAAAGACATGGTGTGACCTACTCTGTCATCATAAAATATTTGAGTTGGAAAGGATCTCAGGTCATCTGGTTCAACCCCTGAATTTCAGTGCACTTTTCAAAGTCGGAAAGGTAGAAAGTAGCAGGACAAGGATAAGGACTGTTGTGGCTTCCCCTGCACCCATGTGTAAAAGGAAAGTCATGCTGTGGGCTCCAGGTCAGACTGGCTTCCCCCCATGCCTTGGACATGGCACATACTCAAACCTTTGTGTAACAAACAAAACAAACATAAATTCAAAGATTTTCCCTCATAGAAATGTCATATTTCACAAGGCACTTTCAGTTGGCAAGTATAGCATTCTTCCCATCTTTTGGTTCGGGTGCCACGTACATTTCAGGTCTATCTAACTCTGAGGCATGCTTTTTAGGTATAGTCATGTGCCCAACAACGTGTCAGTCAAGGATGGACTGCGTATATGACAGTGGTTCCATAAGATAATGGAGTTGAAAAATTCCTATTGCCTAGTGATGTCATAGCCACTGTGATGTCACACATAGCGTAACGCATTACTCGCATGTTTGTGGCGATGCTGCTGTAAACCAACCTACTGCTCTGCCAGTCGTATGAAAGTATAGCACATACGATTATGTACAGTACACGATTCTTGATGAGAATAAATGACTATATTACTAGTTTATGTATTTTCTATACTATACTATGTTTTCTATACTATACTGTCATTATTTTAGAGTGTACTCTTTCTGCTTATAAATAAGTTTTGCTGTAAAACAGTATGCCGCATTATGACAGTAGCAGCCTCACACATCTCACTTTTGCTGTGTCTCTTGATTATATAATTTTCTCTTGTGCTTGATTTAATCTTGTTTTGTATAGTGACATGCTGTATGGGTTCATAGCTTAGGAGCAGTAGTCTATGCCATTTAGCCTAGGTGTGTAGTAGGCTGTACCATCTAGGCTTGTCTATGGTGTTCACATGATGATAAATGACATATTTTGAGAACATATCCGCCTAGGTGTGTAGTAGGCTGTACCATCTAGGTTTGTCTATGGTGTTCACATGATGATAAAATCTCCTAATGACATATTTTGAGAACATATCCACATTATTAACTGGGGCATGGCTGTACAGAACCTCTTCTCAGAAACCCTTGTCAGAACTGGAGTGCCATTTACTTTCTCCATACAGGGAGACTAAATTAAGCAGGTTCCGTATGGCTGTGCTTGGAGTGTACCAAGTCCGTACTGATTGTAGCCGTGAGTGTTTCCAGGGGTTCCACTCTAGCCCTGCCCTTTGGACAAGGTTCACATCTGAGCACCGCAGCACACCTGGCCCGGCTGCAGGCCCTGCCTGCTCTCAGCGGTGGCCCAGCCCCTCCAGGCCCATGCACTTGGCTGGAGAGGCTGACCCCCTCAAAGGCCTGAGGTACAGAAAGGAAACATACAGAACCTGCAGCTTGGTGGGGGCTGCTTAAGGTAAAGAGATGACATCATACTTTAGAATAACAAAGTAATTTAATGGAAGAAACAGAAATTCTTCCTTTTTGACCTGTATGATTTCTGGTCCTACCTTCAGAGGGATGTATTAGAAATTCTTATATATTCTACTATACCATTACCCCGAAAGGGCTGAAAATGAAAAGAAGGGAAAAGTGATATTTCTTGTCATGCTGCTCCTCAAAGGTATATAAAAATGACTGCTTGAAAGTATCTCTCACAAAACAGGATTATGTAGGCCCTTCAAGCTCACAAGTTGAAAGTTAAGTCTAATATATACAGAAAGTTAAGTCTAATATATACAGAAATATAACTGAATAAACCAACTTGGAAACAGAGTAAGTAGTCAGTCATCTACACATCAGAGTACCTGTCTGAAATGTCCTTTGTGCCTCTGCCAGTGGTCGCCCCATTCTCCAGCTCAGGGATGATGACTGGGAATTTTTCATAAGCATTCTCATCAGTTCCCGCCAGTTAGCATTTGCTTTCCAAAATATCTAGTTCTATTTGGATAATGCAGTCTGGGAAGACATCTTGATGTGTCTGGGTCACTGATGATGAGCTTTCCAACTGATATTTCTTCCCTCCTTGATGTCACTCTCTTATAAGACTGATAATCCTCTGGCCCTGGCTTGTGGGCATTCCCATGGCCCCAGCTAAGCCCAAAGCTACATTAAGGAGTCTGGCCCTGTAGGAACTTACATAATTTTGGCCCTCAGTGTCAGCTTGTGGCCTACACCTGAGGCTTGAGGCCTGAGGCCTGAGACACCTGAATCCCAGCTGATTTTCTTGCCTACCTGCTTATTCTATACCTCTCTTTTGCTTGGAAGAAGGAAAAATACCCTCCCTTTAAGAGTAGTCCTTTAGATATTTATAAACCATTTATTCTGTGCTAAGCACTTTCACAATTTGTAGATTTCACAGATACCCTGACATTCCAGGTTAATAATCCCACTCTGGGTGTCTAAGTTTTATTCCTTAGTCATTTTATACGTCGAAAGCTCTCCAAAACGAATGGCCTCTTGCACAGTTACTTTCGCCTTAGTTCACACTGACAGTGGCCATGTGAAGCCACAGGAACGCCTTGCTGTAGCTTTGATAGCAGGCTTCTTCCATTACATCCTTATCAGGGCCTCTTGTGGAGATACCGACAGGAGAAATTTCTTTCACCTCGAGGACAGGGTTGGGTAAAAAGGACCAAAGCTTTGCTTTTTATGAACACATCATTTATTTTTGTCTTAAGAGCACTATGACCTTTTTAAACGATCATATTTTCCTTTTCATTTTAGCTGCAGGAAAGCTGAAAGCCAAGCTTACAATCTAGATCTGGCAGCTGACTAAGATGATATGATAGGCATGTCTGTGTGCAAATCTGACACTTCCTATGCACTAAGCCCTGCATACACTGTCCCCTGTAAGTGCCATAATGAACATGGGAAATGGACACTATTATATTCCTTTTATAGATATGGAAACTGAGATTCACAAAAGTTAAATAATTTGCTCAAGAGCCCAACAATGAGTAGCACAGGTGGATTCCATACCTTTGCTTAGGTCTTAATTATGTTATCTCTTGCCTGAATGATTATAATGAGCACTTAATTGACTCCCAGCCTCTGGTTCATCTACACTGCTATCAGAATTATCTTTCTTCACTTTATTATTCATTTAACTCACTCAACAAATATTTCTGAAATGCAGTATGCCTGGAACTTTTCTGGGAACCTTATACCATGATGCATTGGAAGAAATACTGTCCCTAGTCTCATGGAATTTGTAGTCTAGTAGGAAAATGTCATAAATAAAAACTTACACAAATAGGAATATAATTATAAATCTGAGATAAGTGCTATAAGGACTCTTCCTTTAAAAGAAAAAACGAACCATAATTTTCAAACCTGCCCTTCACTAGAGTCAGAAGGGGGTACCAGGAGGAAGGATTGTTTGAGTTGAAATATGAAGAATGGAACATAAGGAATGGAGATTAAGGATGGGGAAGGGGGCTGGCACAGCTGAACAAAGGATCCTCCTGGAAGGCAGAGACTATCTGTACAAAGACCAAATGGCAGGAGCGAATCTAGCACTCTTTAGGTCTATGAACTAAACAGTCTATAGACCTAAAATGCAGTGAATGAAGTGGTTCATGGTAAAAAAAAAAGATGTAGGTAGGGATAGACCATGATTCTATAGTCTTTCAGACCATGAAGATATTACTATTAATTCTGCAAGAGGAAGCCATTGAAAAATGAGAGTTACATTTTGAGCTAACACACTGGATTAGTTTGCCAAGTCAGACTCACATGACCCAGAGCTCTTATTCCAGTATTGAGCTTTACTAATGATTTCAAGAATACAGGCAATCAGGAAGCACAGATGAAGCAGAGAAGGGTCTGAAACATTTCATATGGTTCCCTAGGGCCTTTGCTTTCTATATGAGTTGTAGCTTCTGAGAAAAATTTTGCAAGATGATCTAGCGAGCCTTCTCTGACCTTCTTCAACCATATAGAATTTGCCGTCTTCTTCTTAGTGTTACTACATATAGCGTGTTGTTCTTATTTTTAGGATACATTCACCATTGTTGTTTTGAACTTTTTCATTTCTGCTTCCTTCTCACCCGAGTACACAAACTGTATCCTACTCATTATTTTATTTACAGTATTTTAAAAGTGCTGAATAGATCGAATGGATAAACTGCACAACCGTTAAGAGACAGCTAAGGACTGTGCAAAGACAATACCATCATCTTCTGTACTGAAGAAAACATTTCTTTAAAACTATGAAGCAACTAACTTCACCCTACACATCTCAAAAAAGAAATAAATCATTTTCTATATCTATCCCTTCCCTAAAATATAAGTATCTTATTCTATGCCCCCCAAATCGCACTCTTTTCAACGTATATAAAATTATTCTTGGCGACAACTTGTTAATATAAAGTAATTTTTTTTGGTTTTACCAGTTAAAATGGAATTGTAATCTCTGATGCAAGTCTGTGGCTTCCAGACTTGAATACCATAGATCAGATCAGTTTTTTAATTATTTGGGAGAAACAGCATAAAGTTGAGTGCTTTTTGCGTTACCATATAATGACATTTTTTTAAAACCTACCATCATCTGTTGTCACAATAGTTTCATAAAGGATATTATTATATGTTTTAATTCTTATTTTGAACAAGCCTACAGAGGAGTCATAAGAATGTCACAATGAATTTCCTTCTATACTTCACCTAGAAATTCAAACATTTTGCCACACCTTCTCTATCTCCCTATATATCTCACGTATATATTTATATATTTTTGATGAGCCATTTGAGAGTAAGTCACAGGCATCATAACCCTTTACCCCTAAGTACTTATGTGTATATTTCCTAAGAAAAACTAAATTCTTTCATATAGCCATGCTATCATCATCAAATTCAGGAAAGTTAATATTGATATTTATTATTATCCAATATATAATTTATATTAAAATTTTTCCTATTGTTCCAACACTGTCCTAAAAGGGTTTTAACGTATATAAAACTAGAGATAAAATGACAGAATATCAGAATAAAAGATACTCCTTTAGAGATGAATATATTTAGCTCTATGAAAATAAAATCACTATTTAACCCTTGTTTTCTCATTTCTGCTTTGAACAGTAGAGGCTACACTACAGATTTGATATCAGACTCACGTTTGGTAACCACTGGTGTAAACACAGAGAATAAATAATAAAGACATTTCAAAAGAGTGTTTCTTAAAAAAAAAACATATATAATTCAATCAAATGCATGAAAAAGTAAATGTCATGTTTTGAAAGATTACGACTATAAGGTAAATGTACAAATAAGTTTTTTTAATGTTGATTAATTCTAAACTAATACTAGTTAACTTCTTCTGATAGTTTTTAGATGCCTTTCTTAGTGTTTCTTACCTACAATATTAGAATTTTGCCTCAACTTTCTTTTCAAAGTGTTCCTGTGGCCAAAAGTCTAAAAATTACAGAGCAGTATCTAGAAGAGAACTGAAAATAAATCAGAAAGATTGTTTACCCTTCTACCAAACCCTACTGTTGGATGTATTTGAAACACCATGTGCAGAGAAAATCAAAGAAAAAACAGCTAATGGTTTTGTCATTGAAGAATATTTTTTAATGCGGCAAGATTTTCTAAATTAGAATACTGCAGCCCAGGAAGAAAAAGACGAAAATAAGATTATTAAAGTCTATAAAATTATGATGTTCCTTGTCCACAGGATTCAGAAAAGAGGCAATTGTTAAAGAAATCAAAGGAAGGATTGCTCTGGGAGTAAGCTTTACGTGGCAATAAAAGCTGAAAATATAAGTATCTTCAAAATTAGTTGAGATCTGTTTATAAATTTTAAATTCATAATTTATTATAAAATAAGCTGCTATGAAAGCACATGAGAAATGTCTCGTTTTTATCTATAACCTGTCCTCCCACCAAATATCTTTCAATTGGATGAGCCATCGACCTAACTCATTGTGACATTTTTATATTGTCAGTTTTTCATCATAGTCCCTGCTATAGCTCCACTTAATGTTGTGTCTATGCCACTGATATTAGGCATATTCATTTGCACTTAAATGTATATATAGTTAATGCATCTACACATTTTTGAAATATAAGCTTCAATATTTTGAACTCAGAAGCCTTTGGGGCAAGAAAAAATGGATATATTACTTATACTAATGGTCATAAAATAATAGATTTTAAATTGATTTGAAAATATACATCTATGTTTGTTAGAAATGTGAACCATTAATATTCTCCATACTGTTTTATTTCTTTTCCCCTTTAAAAGATATTTTTGATACCTCTTAGTATCAACATCAGTGATAGAGTATAGATTGTGCATTATGGTTTCCATTCCACCGACAGTTTAATAGAAGTTCTACAAAACAAAATGAAATTAAACAAACACAACCCTTGTAGATTATTTTCAGTTAGAACAATTATATAGAACCCCTATATTCTGGCTTCACTTTATGAAACAAAGCCCAAACCAGAAAAATCTAGATTGACTATAATAACTATGCTCCATTAATATTTCACCTCTGAAAGGTACCACATTGTACATTAAGATTGAAAAATATGAAAAATTTTACTTTTCTAAATCCAGTTTTTAAATACTAAGGTAATCAACACTTTCTGTGAGATTTACAAGAGTCCTTGGGTTTGGAGGGTCTGTGGGATTGGCCTTTTTCAGTGATAGTTTGGTTTTTGTTTGTTGTCCCAAGGAAACCCAAAGCACCGCGCAGGGCCGTGACATAGGAAGCATTCAGAAAAGATTTCATTAAATGGCTAATTCACGGTGGAAGGAGAAGTGTCTAAAAGAATTCCAATCCTGTTTTAGTATGACTTCTAATAAATAAATGTACACCGCAAGCTATAATTGTTCACTCATTTGACATTTCACTGCCTAGTAACCATGTAAAAGACCCAGAGATTCCTTCTTTCTGGTGGTTCACTAGTCCCAAAAGATTGGAACATGTGATTCAGTCAGTGAGTTGAATGCTGTTTCTGATGACAACTGCTTCTTTCTTAGACAGCGCAAGGATGAGCTGGAACAGAGAATGTCTGCTCTCCAGGAGAGCCGGAGAGAGCTAATGGTCCAGTTAGAAGGTCTCATGAAGCTACTAAAGGTAAGATGTTTCCAATAAATAGATATTTTCTAGACTTAGGACTATGGCATTGGTAAAATTTTTGCATATAATGTGCAATGGCTTTTACAATTACTATATATGATTTCCCCCAAAATGTGGTTTCAAACGCAGATATAGGATTTTTTCACAAATGCATCAAATGATAGCAGTCCATTATAGGGCTCATTCTTACTCCTTTTCTGGAACCAGACTACTGAGGACCTTCATGGGAAATTTCTTCTTAGCTCATTTCCAGTTTCTTATGTCCTTGAAAGTAATAAAACCGGATTTATTTAGAAATATTTTACATTTAGTAGTTTTTATCAGTTATGACTAAATTGAAAAGAAGCTAATATCTAATTCATAAAATGAAGATAGCCATTAAATAACTTTGATGGTAATAGTTTAAGAGGAGTAACTTTAATTTCAGTAAAATATTTTATCTCTGTGGCTTTAGCAGCAAGTCACAAAACTTCTATGAGTCTCAAATGCAACATGTAAATGGAAATCTTATTATTCTTCAGATAGAGTGTTTAATATGATGATCTATAGAATTCCTCTGCAGAATGCTATAATCTGTTGTTTTCATTGGAAAGTGGCATTCTTCCTTTCATAAATCCTTATTCTCTTCTTCAGTATGCACTAAATTACATTTTAAGTCAAAAGTAGACTAATTATGGCCACATGTCCACAGTCAGCCCTGTAGAAGTGTCAGTGCTGTGTGGTCATCCTGCTTGATGTAAATAAGCATGAACCAGTATGGACTGAAACTGTGACATGCCAAAGGTGTCCTGACTTTGAGTCCACGGCTCCCCCACATCCCTGACACACCATTATTTATTGTTTCTGTATTTCTCTCTCTCTCTCTCTCTCTCTCTCTCTCTCTCTCTCTCTTTTTCCGCTGCCAGTTTGTGAATCTGCTGTACAGATTTCTGATTTACCAGCCCCCACAATCACATGAGCCAGTTCCTTTAAATCAATTTCTCCCTCCCTCCCTCTCTTCTCTCTCTCTCTCTCTCTCTCTCCTCTCTCCTTTTTCTCCCTCCCTTTTTTCCTTCCTTCCTTCCTTTTATTTAACAAATATTTGTTGAAACCAATGTGTCCCAGGCGCTGCTGTTAGTGTAACACTTCTTTCTTTTGTTTTCTTTACTTTTTTTATTCCTTAGTCAACTTTGCCTGCCATCAGTGTTGGGAATACTTTATTTACCAAGCAAAACTTACTTTTCAGTGTATTAGAAATGTAAAGTATAGAATTCAATTTTCGTTGTACTATATGTGTTAGGACAGGACTAGATAATTAATAACCTGTTGCTATTTCTGGCCTGTAAGCTCATTTGATGATCCAGAAAAGCTCTTTCTCCTTTCCTTTTCAAATATACGAAATGAATAAAGTGGATCCTATCTTTCCCTTCACTGAATGACAGGAAGCTTTGAAAACATCCCCCTGCTTATATTGCTATGGATTCTATCACCATAGCATTGAGATACGAGTCTGTTTACCACCAGCCATCTTGGCATCGACCTAGCCTAACTGAGCACTCCATCGTATCAGGATGTACAAACACCAGGACAGAGAGATGGTGTCGAAAGATGGTTAGACACAGGAAGAAAAGAGATGGGTCTATATTTTCAAATACCTAAAAAGACTTAGAACTGAAGTCACTGAGGTAGAAGAGACTTGACCTGCCATCAAAGCTATGTTGATGTTTCCCCACCTTGCATTCCTTTACACTGTATTGGAACATGCTCTTATTGGAACCCTGGGTAATCTAACTATTATTGGTTCAATCTTTCTGTAGGAAGAAGAACTGAAGCAGGGAGTAAGTTATGTTCCCTACTGCAGGTCTTAACTAACAGTGGAGGGGCCTGCCGTCCTGCTGTTTTTCTCATTGCTTTTGCCTCTAATGTATGTTCATGCTTCAGTTTGGAAAGAGAAAAAAAATCATACTAATTTGCTTCCTTTTCAATGTAGTGCTTGAATTGAGATATATAAAATTTAGCATTTTTATAACTATTACTACTGTCGGCATCAAAAGAAGAGCTATTACATCTTTGAGAAGAGGGAACAAATTGTAATTTGTTGGACACTTTTTAGATCTCCAGGGGTCTAAATTTCAGACCAGTCTTGTGCTTTTCTGGGTTGTTGACCAAACCCTTCTCTTAATAGAAAGATACCCACTGCAGTCACTAAAGTTACACTAGGTAAAACCCACAGCACTCAAAAGCTAACTTCCTCATCCCCTAACACTGTGAGTATCCAGTTCAGTTTCCATTTTACTGAAAAAATGTAGAACCTCTTTTTATAAAAATTGGCCAATTACATCTCTTTTTATTATATAATTATTAAGCCCCAATTCCCCACTGCTCACCCAAATGTACTCAGTCTTATAAGAGAAAGACTACTCAGTAATTGTTCACTTTCCATTGTTTAGTTCTTCCCAAGCAGAATTCCTACTGTTGGTTGAAACATCTCAAAAGAATAGGTAACTTTCAGCCTTTCTCTTATCACCAAGAACCTTTCTGCTCTGGGATTTCACAAGGTCCTCAAATATATCTCCGGGAAAAGGGACATCATAACTGTAGCCTAAACTGAAGCCCTGTACCTAACTCTGTGGTCAGGTTCAGAAGCCAGCAGAGGGAGCAGCATACTCAAAAAATAATAATAATAAAATGAAAGCAAAATAAAAGCTGCTTTTATTTCAAGTGCATGTACCAAGCTGTGTATGACAATAGACCCCACCTGCTAGTATTATCAAACATTTTCACATTATTTCCATTGATCAATTAGAACCGTAGCCTGTCCAATTTCAACCTACTTTTTAATTCTTCTGTATTCTCTTTCCTATTATTCATTGTGTGTGTTTGTGTGTAACAAAGAATGTTTGCAAAATGCTGGACACATTTTTGCCCTTTATTCCCATGGTCTGTAAAAAAGGAAAGTGTAAAACTAACCTGTAATGTCAGACAATAAAGACAATGTATTACATTATTTTGTATTTTGTGAAAAAAAAAATTGCTAAAACTAAAGTCCAGTTTTATTGAGACAGTGCCCCTCGGTGAAGGACACACATTGACAGCCTGTATAATTGCCCATAAATGCATACATGGGGTATTTCTATGTACTTCCAACACTTAGATCATGGTAGAGAAAAATGCCTTGCTGTGGCACTTCTCTTTGCAAACAGCCTCTTTTCTTTTCTGTCTCTTACTTAGCACGTGCATTAAAAAAGGAGATAAGGCTCCAATATAACCTTCCTCCTCCTAGTGGAGAGAGAGGGCAATCATCCTGTAATCGGTCAGCCTTGCTTTATCCATTTCCCACGGGGACTCCTTCTCTACCATTTCCGGGGCAACGCATTCTTGAAAGGCTCAGAGGACCGGGAAGTTCATAAACTGTTGGATGCATAGAGCCAGGAAGTTCATAAACAGATGGACGCACAGAGGCTGGAAGTTCATAAACAGATGGATGCAGAGAGCCAAACCATGGCAGCGCCCATAAGAGCGTTACTGCCCCCTTTCCTTCCAGCTCCTCTCACTGAGCCCGAAACAGCTTTTGCATCTCTAAAAGTCAGCCTGCAGTGAGTACTGCTGCATAGCTACTTAAGGGCCATTATTGGTAACACCCAGATGTCAGCAGTGCATTGTCTGGAAGGGAGTTTGCCTGTTTTAGTCATTCATTTGCTTTTACACGCAAACCTCTTTTCAAAAAGGACCCGAGGCAGCTAACAACAAAAGACATAAACAATGACTTCATAAAATAAAAATAGAAAAATCAAAAACCGAAGAAAAGAAAATGCAAATATGCTAATTATAAGGGACAGGAGTGTTACTCTGAGATTTCTGGCAATAAAGCGAAAAAGAAAAGCATATTGGTCGTTTTATTAGAACAGAAACTCTAGTTCTTAGGGGACCAAATTTCTGTTGGCATAAAATATAAAAAGAAAGTCTCACTCAGAGCTTTACAGGAGGAGTACTGAAAAAAAAAAATGGACAAATGCAATAGTAACTTTCATATGGCTGATACTTATAATGACCTTCAGTCAAAATTAAAGACAACCTCACATGTTCCAATCCTGTAAAGATAGTTCTACAAGGAAATAAACAAATGCCATCCAAACATATAGACTTCTCATGGTATAACATGATCTAAGGAAAGAATTTAGAGGTTTTAGTCTGGCATCTGCTTCTAAATTCTGTTTTCATTTATGAGCTTTTCTCCTTTGGGGACATTCTCTTTGTAAAATCAGATTTAAAACACTGCACACAACAAATCGTGCTTGATTTAATAGCCTCTACTTGCTTTAAACTAAGTCTGTGTGGTTCAATGTATTTTATTATATTGGTATATATAATTCCTAACTATACTGTTTCTTGTTAGAAGTAATGCATGAATTTATTCCCCTTGAGGAGAGAACATGAATTTTTTAAAAAATAGTGCCTGTAATATAAAACGATGATTATGATATCATAAGCAATAAATTTTTTTTACAAAACTTGAATTGAAATTATCCTACCCTCTTTCTTCTTTGTGTATTTTTAAGATTTATTGAAGGAACCATAAAAAGAACACTCATAAAAAGTTTAATAATGAAGGCGGCTGGGGTATAATTGCAGCGACAGTATGTTCCAGAGTTTCTGATATACTTCTAGTTTCAAATATTATGTTCCGGTCTAAAACCAAGCATCCTGACTTTGAGTTCAGAAAATAAGATCTCAATAATAACTTCTTAGGAAGATTACTAGAGTTAGACATGAATTATACCAGTCCTAGCTCTTCCGTCACAGCGTAAGATGAGTAAGTCAGTTCACTTCCTGGTAATTTATTTCACATGTACAGATAATACATGATTTAGCAGATTGTTGTATGGATCTTAAAAGATAATGGATGTGCAAGCACTTTGGAAAATACCATACATGTCATATATAAATCAGAATGTATGTGTGTATATACATGTATATGGGTATATGTAAATTTTCTAATTTGACCCATATTTTGACACGCACACACAAAAACACTCATGCATTCACTTCTCTTCCTTACAGTTAACCAACAGAGTTTCAATCAGAAGGAGAAAGTCAACCATCATTCCAAATTTCATCCCCCGCCTTCATTCTGTTCTCTATTTACAACTGGATGACCCAATTAATTCAAGAAGTCATAGTCACTCAGGTTCCTACTTCTTTCACACAAGGCTATAAAAAATATGAACAGACCAGAAATGACAATTTTACCAGCTTAAGTTTCACCTTTCTCTGTTTCCCTTGCTCATTGTCTCTGGTGGGTATTCGATAGAGTAGTGAAGCAATCAAAAGTGAGGGTGGGGACATGATAATACACATCATAAATAATCAATTGCAGTATAAGGACTCACATCTAGTATTCAAAAACATACCCTCCCAGTCTCAGTCTCTCTCTCTCTCTCTCTCTCTCTCTCTCTCTCTCTCTCTCTCCTCATCCTCCGTGCATGCATGCGCACACACCACACACATCTTTTTTAAAAATTAGGGATTGGTTAATTCATTCTAGAAAATTATTAAATATTATTTCTCTGCTTTAAAACATTGAAAGATGACCCTCAAGTTCAAGATAAATGCTAGCCCCTTTTATGACATTGGAGGCACCCAAACCCAGTTCTTCCCCTTCCCAGCATCATTCTCCTCCACTCCCCATAGTGAACCTGGCGCTTCAATAATACTGCCCTCCCAACCCTATCTGCATTGCTCGTGATACTCCAAGGCCTGGGATGTTCTTCTCTCTGCCCAGTACTTTCTCTTCTCTGCCTAAAAATCTCGGCTGTTAAGACCCAAGTGCAATGAAGCCTCCTACCTGAAGTCAGGATCAGTCACCTCATCTGCGTCCCCATAACACTTTGTACACAACAATCCCTATGATGATAGTCAGTGAATGTGTATTGGGAGAAAGGATGAAAAGAGAGTTGGATGTAGCTAAACACTGGTTTGCTCTACCTTCCCAGGCTGATAAGTAAACCAGACCTGACTAGGCTGTATTCTCAGCCAAACCTGAGAGGCAGATTTTTCAGGTTGGGAGGAGGACGTACATGACATCACCCACTCCCATCTCATGGTCATCCTCTCTGCCATTTCTCCAGGCAGTGCTGGTTCAGCAATTAGACATTTGGACCCTTCCTTAAAGCATCCCTCCTTTCTGGTGCTGAGTAGAAACCAAAATACTTCCTGGTAAAAAAAAAAAAAAAATCAGAAAATTTATGGATCTTGTCAGACTTTTTAAAAATTGATACAACAGCACATTGAGTGGACTCAGAGGATGGAGTGTAGAAATGAATTTTTTATTTATTCTCTAGGAAGAGAGCTATTTTAAATTTGCCAAGTATGATATATGTTTTCCTTCTTCCATAAATCAACTCCCTTCTCAGGAATTTTAGATCTATATATTGATCTGCATGGACCATCATCCCTTAAGTCTTTGCTCCATTAATCATCGAGTAATTTCCAGAAAAGGATGTTCACAGAGATTATTCACCCTAACTGTTCTAAAGTAGTTAGAAGACATGTTTTATGACCTGGCCAGAAGCCACCATTCTATAGAAGCTACTCACTGTGAAAGTGAAATTCAGTGATATATACCCCACTGATCTACCCCAGTGCCAAGAGGCAACTGCCCTCTCCTAAGTGGCCCTACAAGAACAGCAGAAAGGGAGTCCAGAGCTGGCAGTAGGTCCTAGGAAGGTACTGTGCATCAAACTGGGTGGTATCCTCACAAAGAGGTATGGGGCCATGATGGCCCAGGGAGCCAGGGTCCTCTCTACAAAAATCTGGGTAAAGACCGGACATGACATGGGAGTTGCGAGTTGCAGGTAAGATATCGCTGAATCTTTTCTTCAGCACAGAATCTTTCACTAAAATTCTTCACATAATCAGAATTGATTGAAATTACACCAGTTAGAGATTCATTTAGGAGATAGTGACTATTAGTCATTCACACACCGATGTAATTTAGATTCAGTCAATTGTTTTCCCTTCACACATAACTACAAGTCCATTATTTTTCTCTTAACACAGAAACATTAGAGAGTTTTGAAGAAAGGAAGCAGGCAGAAAGGAGTAAGGAAAGTTGGGTTTGGAGACCAGGTATTAAGCAGGGAGAGGTAAGGCTGGGAGTGCCTCAGACAAACGCAGTTAGCAGGAGAGCTGAGTGCAGGAGCAGAAGCGGAGAGCATTGCCGGAGGTAAGGTACCCACAGACGGGAAGGTTAGAAAGGCCGAGCGTAGAGCCCAGAGGGGAGGTGAAACAAGCCCTCAAGGCACCTGACCGACGTCTGTCTTCTCTGAGAGACACTCCATCTGCCATAGCTCATCCAGGTCCCCACAGCCCAGGGTACTCAGAGCGCCTGGGCTCAGACATCAGCACAGACATTCTTGATTCATCTCCTGGGCAATTCTTTTCACCTCTCTAAGCACTGGGATCCACAACTATGCATTTAGAATAGTAATACCTACTTCAGTGGTGGTGGAGAGAAATCAGTGAGCATGTACATCAAAACCCTTCATCCATGGCAAAGCACAAATCAAACGAGAAGTCGTTTATTATTGGTGTGGGACGCAGCGGGAGGCCATGGTAGCTCAGAAGCAAAGGGTTTGTGATAATGAGACTGAGCTGCCAAAGTTTGCTGGGGAAAACCAGCCCCGTCGTCCCTGTCCCCGAGCGGGCTGGGGCAAGCAGGCTGCAAGGCATCGCACGCAGGTAAACTCCTCTTCCTTGGGCCCGGACAGACCATTCCAAGGTACTGTTGAGAGTGAAAGAGTGGAAACCTCCGCCCATTGGGCATCACATGAGTCTGTGTTCTGTTTTGCTTCATTTTTTAATTCTGGACTTTTCTCAATTTTTAGATTTGACTTTTATGTGTGATGCTGAGCCCTAGAAAGCTAACAGCATGGCATTGTACAGGATTGATGTTGTGTGTTTTAACTGCAAGCAGCTGAACCCACAGCAAAGATCTAAATCGAATATTCCAGAGCACTGCTCTCCTGGTTCACATCTCAGGGGAGTTGAATGGGTTGATGAACCTCTGGGCCTTGCCGTGGCAGAGTCTTCACTCTCTCTGGCCAAACCTAACAGATTGAAATGGGACTTAAACAAATACCTGATCTGTTGTGTATGCACTTGAGGGTCTCAGTTGCATTTTCTTATTCATGAGTGACTGACTTCCTTTGCAAACTAATTATTAATAAGGGAAAATATTTCTAAGAGACCTCACTGTAGAGATGAAGCTGTAAAATTCAAGGTGTGACAGTCTCAGAATGGTTTCATGCCGAAAACTGTAGTGCAAAGATAAACAGCTTTTAGTTGTTTTCTACTTTTTTCTTTACTCACTTTTAATTCTCACTATTCTTTCTGCTAGAATACTGCTTTTTCATAGGCCATGAGAAGGACATTTCCTACAGGGAAACAGTAGCCCAAAATTAGAAACCAAGATTTCTTTTTTCTCTTCTCCATTGGAATCCCTGAATCACAGAGCAATTTGACAAAGTCAACTTTGTCTGTAAAATAGGGATTAAACAGTTTATACCTTGTTTGATTCTTAATTTGAGACTGAATATGCACAATATTGCATGGCATGATTTGAACTATAAATTATCCTCTACGGATGATGCCAGGACAGATGGGTTGAAAATTTAGGAAGCCTGTAAACCATAACCATGCCAAAAGAGTCTCCTAGTTTATACTTAAAACTTTCTTCTTCAATGGTTTTTTATTCTACTTAGAACTTCCTTCAAGGAGAAAATAGACACACCTTGTAATTATCACTGCGTAACAGTAGCTCATCACCTGGGGACACATCTTATGTATTATCAAACAATGCTGTACTAATATTCTTAGCTTTCAAGATGTAACAGCAGACTTTAAATAATGTATACTAAAGTCCTACATTACCTACACTTGCAACTCAGGTTTAGAATGACCATCTCAATTACCGAGGATTTCCTCCTGCTTTGAAATTTCATTGTTATGGTTTTTAACATTTGAGGACTTGGGGGATGGCATTTTCTTGGAAAAACAAATTAATGGCTTGCATTGTCTCTTCAGACCCAGGGAGCAGGTTCTCCTCGCTCCTCCCCCAGCCACACCATCAGCAGGCCCATCCCCATGCCCCTCCGGTCGTCAGCCTGCTCCACCCCGACTCACACGCCTCAGGACTCTCTCACAGGAGTAGGGGGAGATGTACAGGAGGCATTTGCACAAAGTAAGTGGCTTTGTTTTTGGTGTGTTCTGCTTTTATGTAACAAATAATTCATCACGGTCTGTTGCGTGGCATGGGGTCAACACACCATGGAGGTTCTAGGGCATTCCATGACTTGGCCCTGCAGTTTTGAGAAACTCTGTTCCTCATCTCACCACCTTACCTTCCTTTGGCTTCTATTGCTGTCCACCATTTTTATGTCTTTGTTCATTAAGGGAATGGAAATTCTTTCACTATCTCAGGAAAGTATAAATACAATCCATTTTAAAATTCTGAAAGATCTTATTTCCTGCTTTCTTCTCTTTACATTAAAGCAAACTCAAGATGAAGATTAAACAATCCAGCTCTTTAGCTCTGAGGTGATGAAGAAGGACATTTAGTCATTTTACAGTTGCCCTAAAGAGTTGAATCACTGCCTCCATTATGGGGCTACACGGTTAGGACCCCACAGTTAATAGAAGATTGTGAAGAGTGAATCAAGATGACAAACAACATTCACCCACGGGCTGCCTCTTCCATTTACACATGGGGGATTGGGGAGGCAAGTGGTTTTTTTCATTGGGAAATGTTTTAACACTTTTTAAAAGTTTTTCTTGCCATCACTTTTTAAATTTACAGAAAACTAGGGAAAAAATCTTCCTGCAGACTCTCACACTGCCAATCTCATTCCTAGAAGTAACCACTATTAACAGTTTGGTCCATTTAAACTTTTCACTTATATATAAACATATGTGTTTATGTGTGTTTTTATAGACACATACTCTTTATTTTTCACACAAATAAGATCATGGATCACATTTTAGTCCACAGTTTGCATTTTCTTTAAATTAGCAGTATATCATAAACATTCTTCCTGGTCTTTATGTATAGATTTAAGGAAGAGAGACATATTTGGTTACTAGCTTTAAGACAAAAAGAAACAAAATGTTTTAAAAAAACACACATTTGAGGAAATCATTTTTAGCATATATGACAATTGAGTCTATAATTTCAGCTGATGTAAAGCATACAGAGATCAGTAAGAAAAAGACATCCCCAAAACAAAAATAGGTTAAGGATATGAACAGACAGAAGAAGAAATATAAATTGCCAATAAATATATGAAATAACTGTAGAAATAAAAATGTTACTTAGCAGTTACAAAAAAAAAATTAACTTCAGTGATATCCTCCAATGGCAAGAGTGTGAGGAAACAGACCCTCTCATCCATCATGGATAGGGGACAAAATCTAACATTTTAAAGGAAGAGAATGATGTACTCTCTATTATGAAGGAAAAGAGAAGATCCATACAGGGTGTTTTCTTCTGAAAAAGAAAATAATTTAAGTTATACAAATATATGTTGTTCTACAAAATAACTATATTTAATTTTTAGAAGGAAAAATGTCCTTTCCCTAAATATTATTGTAAAGAAATTTATACAGTATTTTAAATCAATTTGAGCTTTCTATTACAATTAATGTTTTCTCAAACTACTTTGATTTTAATTTACATGTATTTATTATTCTGCTTATTTAGTTCTACTTTCTGAGACATGATGGAATGACATGTGGCCTAGCTCACAAAGAGCTTGTGCTGCATAAGTTCATCTGCAAGTCAGGTATTTGGAATCTTGAGTCCTTTTTCCAAAGATATTATGGTGATTAACCCTCTGTTCCATTTTCACCTTGACCAGGGCTTAGGCCAGCCCACAAATATCCATTTAACTCTTAGTGTGCCTGAAACTTCATAATCTTTCTCTACCATAAAGAAACATAGTCTAAGTTCCAGTTCAGCGGACCAGACATTTATCTTCTGCCCACATCTTGGTAGCAGGAGCAAGAATCCTCACCCCTTTTTCATACTCTGGGGGCGTTTGTTGCACAGGGTTCCCATTTCCAAGAGGTACCTATAAAAGTAGAGGGAGCTCTGGGAGCCCTGATGGGAGACAGAGGCTATAGTGATGAAGATCAGAATCCAGTGGGCCCAGCCACCAGGTAACGGCTGAAATGATAGCAGCAGCTAGGAAGGCACCGCGGTGTTTTTATGTGTGGGTTATTCATAAGAGAGGTGACCACACATACTGATTTACCTGGGACCATCCTATTTTGTGCTGGGTCACCCAGTCTTGTTATTAATACCACTCCCTTTCATGTGCAGAATTGTCTCAATTTAGACAATAAATTTTATGAACCCTCGTCAGTTGCCATGTCTTCCCACATCAGAGTCCACTGCTTAAGCGCAACATTCTTTTTTTCAGGAAATGAACCAAAGCACATCTGCAAAGGAGAAGTCTTGGAAGTGTTTTTGCTTTAGAATGTCAATGGAAATGATAAACGGTATAAAATCTTGGAAAAGAAAAGCTTTTATTTTTTTTTTAATTGTCATTTCTTCTTCACTTAAGGTACAAGAAGAAATTTAAGGAACGACTTACTAGTGGCAGCGGATTCCATCACTAACACCATGTCCTCTCTTGTGAAAGAGCTGAATTCTGGTGCGTCCCTTTCCTGGTCCCCTCCTATTTGTCTGCTCATTGCAGAGGAACCCAAAAGTGCTAGGGGCTTCTGTTAGAGAGCTGCTCATTGTTGAAATATGAAAAGATTTTTTAAAGATCTATGTGATATTTTGTTGATATATTCAGATTTTTAAATTAATATTTATATTTTGCTGATGAGAAGTCTTAATACATGCTTAATACAGAAAGCTTAAAAATGCAGAAAAGAATAGAGAAAAATATTTAAAATGACATTTCTAGAAGCCAAAGATAGTCGTTAACATCTGTCATGATCTAAAGTGACATGATGCTGAAGTTATTTTATAAGGTCAATGTTTTAATTACTAATTTAGACTCTCTTCATTTGCAATGCACAGCTAATTGAATGAGGCTAACCTGAAGTTTACCTTTGTAGTATCTCTAAAGAAAGATTTTTCAGAAAAGAAATAACACAAAACTGTGAGAATCTCTTTATCCTAATAATACTACACAGAGTTTTGTAAACTTTAACAGTATGAATATTCAGATAACTATCTTACCACTTACTAATACATCTCATCTATTTCTTAAAGCCCATCTAGCAAGATATTTGCCTGGCAGGAGTGTGGTCATATAGTTGATAATATAATCATAAGAAATAAAACTTCAATATTAAAAAAAACTTTGGATTTAAATTTCTTAAAATCTCTATAATTAAAATTAAAGTAATGAAAATTGTTGCTTCTATTTTAGATTTAGATTACTAAATAGGATAAAAATGACATTAGTTAATACATCATGATCAATGGTATATACCCAGTGTCCTAGCAAGTGATGATTAAAAATGTTATCCTTATTGTGGAAGTTTCAAGTTTATATTCTTATAAAATACTTTGAAATACTAAGTGAATGTGATGCTTTAGGTTTGTATTTCCTAAATTAATATTAAGCAAAAGTAACAGTTTTAATGATGACTAAAGGGAGAAAAACAGAAGTTTTAATGAGTTAAGTCAGTTATTAAGACAAAAAAAATTCCTCATATCATTAGAGATTAAAAAAAAAGACAATAGTGTATACAAATGACTTTATAGTAATTCATATCAAGTGTCAATTATCATTTAGAAAAAAATAAACACCCGACCTACATACAGTAACTTGTTAATGTTTTATATAGCACAAGCGTGTTTATGTTAAGCTTAGCCCTTTATTTGCCGATCATAAAAAAATCTTACGTGTCATTCTTTATTCTCTTGAATTGTGCCTAACAGAGGTGGGGAGTGAAACAGAGAGCAATGTGGATTCTGAATTTGCACGGACTCAGTTTGAGGATCTGGTTCCATCACCAACCTCTGAAAAGGCTTTTCTAGCACAAATTCATGCCCGGAAACCGGGGTACATTCACAGTGGAGCTACCCCAAGCACTATGCGCAGTGATGTGTGAGTATCTTCTGTTTGGGGTTATTTCTCAGGAACAGAACACCGTAGGGAGCATGAGAGAGTGAAAGCACTGTTGCTTCATTCTTTATTTTGGAAAGGGATGATGCAGTTTCTTTTTCCGCCAGAAGAGATAAAGGGTACTACATTTAAATTTGTCACTGTGACTATCCCCCTGCCCCATTACAATTTCCGGAGAGTATAAATAATCAAAATCAAGCAGTGTTTATTGAGAACTTGGCACTGTGCTAATTTTGTACAAAATAGTATTAAAAAAATCGCTCCCAGCCTTCCAAGATTCACAGACTAGTTTGGTAGATAAGTCATCCTATCTTCTGAACTTACTGTAGCTGTGTTTGGAGGATCCCGTGATGCTGGAGAGGACTCTGTTCAGAATGGATGTGAACAACATCATAAAAGCACTAGGAACCCAAATAAGTATACTGCTGTGCCATTTAACAATGGGTATGAGCTCTGAGAAATGCATTGTTGTGCAAACATGATAGATACACTTACACAAACCTAGACGGTACAGCCTACTACACACCTAGGCTATATGGTACAGCCTATTGCTCCTAGGCTATAAGCTTCTACAGCAGGTTAATGCACAAAACAACACAAGATTAAATCAAGCACAAGAAAAAATGATGCAATCAAGAAATGCAGTGAATATGAGATGTATGAGGCTACTGTCAAAGTTACATAGCATGCTGGTTTACAGCAAACTTTTTATAAGTAGAAAGAGTATACTCTAAAATAATGATAAAAAGTATAGTATAGTAAATACGTAAACCATAACAGTTTATTATCAAGTATTATGTATGGTACATAATCGTATGTGCTATACTTTTATATGACTAGCAGTTGTAATAGGTTTGTTTACACCAGCATCACCACAAACACGTGAGTAATGCATTGTGCTATGATGTTATAACACCTACAATGCCACTAAGCAATAGGAATTTTTTAGCTCTACTATAATTTTATGGGACCATCGTCATCTATGTGGTCTGTCCTTGACCAAAACATCATTATGTGGTACATGACAGTACATTTATAAAACCTCGTTATAAAGAAATCCAATTTGGCTGACTTGTTGAATGTATATAAATCTGACCCTCGAAAGACATTTTGCAAAAGTTTTTACCGAATTAGGCTTCTGTAGCTTGACAGAAGCCTGCAGAATTAGTGACATACTCACTCGACTTTCTGTGATGCTGGATCAGCTCAAAATAGTCAGGCAGAGGAAACCAAAGCTGAGAAATAAAGATGAAACTGAGACAGAGCTTCAGAGCCAAGCTCAGGAGGGAAAAGAGCGAAACAAAGGGAGCCGAGAGTGGGCCTTTAGGAGAGTGAGGCTCATGGACTGTGAGAAATGTGGGCAGAGGCTTGCCGAAAAGCTAGAAAAGGGAATTACTAATTGTTTAAAAAACTACAGAAGGGTGGCAGTGCTTAATGTGAAAAGTACCGCAGACTGGTCTACAAAAATAAACTGGCTGTTTTAAAGACCCGAAGAAGAAAATAACCAGAGGCCTTTATAGGCCTTTCTGGTGTTTTAGCTCTCAATCCAAGTAGTGAGTAAAAGACCAGTAATAATGGGGAATTATAAATAGACATGGTTTGAAAGCCAGCTGTGAAAAGGCAGAGCATGAGATCAAAACAAAACAGTTTTAACGTAATTTAAAATGGCAGCGGGCTGCTGCTTTTAATTTTAGTTTGCTCTCTTGTTCTTTCCTCTATAATTTAGAATTACTTGATTTGTTTGTTATTCAAAACGGTGAAGTAATTGTCATCAGTTTAGTCTGGTAAACACATATCTGTTTGACTTTCTATAATTAAGCATTTACATGGTGGTTACTTAAAATTTCCTTGTGCTAATCCTAGGTTCCAAGACTGCAGTTAAAGCTACCTCACTCTACTGTCCCCATTATGCTGGTGGCAGTTCCAGCTACCAATATGGCTACGGGAGTTGGGGAGAGAGAGTTCACAGAGGCCTCAGACCTATTTAGGCTGGCCCCAAACCTCTAAAAATAACGAGAACATGTTGTACAGATATAAATAAACGTGTGGATTGGCATTTAAGTTCCAATCCAGAAACTTCTCCTTGACCACTTTTTCATTTTAGGGGATATTTTAATATCTGTACTATCTAAACATGTATTGTGTTTTACCCTGAGAATATTTTAGTCATACAATTCAGGTAGTTCCAGCAAGAGCTTTATATATACTAGGATGAATAGATGGAGGTAGAGTCACACATTAGTGAATAAGGTCATACTTATCTATTTATTTCATAGTGGAATTGGAAAATTAAGTGGATTTCTTAGATTTAGAGCTAGTATAAATGTTTCACATCAAGAGCTATGGGTTAGAGTATTAGCCTTTCTGACTTTGGTTAGCTGATATTCTGAGATTTGATTCTACTATAAGAATAAAGCACATGGGTACACATGCTAACACACATGCTTAACACAAAGAAGGTTAAATAATGAACAAACGTCTTTAATCATTATTTCACTAGAGGGCTCACTTTCCTTATAGAAAATGTTCTTGGATTCCATTAAAAAAAAAAAAGAAAAGGAAAGGAAAAAAAAGGCCCCAGATTGGGAAAACTATATCCACTCAAAAGACAAGCTTGCCTTTTTTAAGACTTGACAAATATCTCAAAGACAACTCATTCCTGTACACCCTACAGAAACACAGATAAGCAATGATCGCCGTAATGCCATAAAAAAATTATGTATGAGAATACCTTGATTATATATTTCCTTAAACTTCCAGAGTTTTTTTTAAAGTTTTCTATTAGGTAACAGAAGACATGGAATTGAAGTGAATTGAAGGGAAGAACTGGAGGACAAAGTAAATGTGCCCCCAAAATTACAGCTAACACATGAAGTTCACTTAGACTTTTATTTTAAGATTTGCTCCAAAACTCCGTCTGTGTATTATTCCCAGAGCTACAGAAGACGGGGACCCCTATGTGCGGCCCGAGGATGAGAACTATGAAAATGACTCAGTCCAGCAGCTGGAGAATGAGCTCAAGATGGAGGAGTACCTGAAACAGAAGCTGCAGGATGAAGCCTATCAGGTATGGGGAGCCAGGCCCACACCACCCGCGACTTCTGCCCCAGCCCCTCGGTAGTCGGGTCTTCCACATTACTCGAAAAATCAGTGCCTTCTTCTTCTTTCTACCCTCCCTTTCTAGAATATCTGACTATATTCCTTAGTCTGTGTATTCTAGACACTAAAAATTTTAAATACTTCTTATATCTGTCACTCACCATGTATTCTTATAAACGCCAATCTAGAAAATGAAAAGAGGCCTTGTCACATTAGTGGAGACATGGTGACTAACAGTCCATACTCCTCCAAGATCATTAGGAAAGATGCTTTTTCTTATTGAGGGGGAAAAAAAGATACAGAGAACAAAGCACAAGGAAACTGAATAAATATAAATATATCCGCTCTCTTGAATCATTTGTCCTCAGCCACTTTCACTGCCTACCTTGTGTCAAATGTAAATAAGCAGGCAAATGACAAACACCAAGAAATGTTGGGGGGACTACAGGCCCCGTGTTCAGCAGCGTATGGATGGACAGATTGTCATAAATAGTGCAATATGTTAATCCCTCTGAGAATTTACTGAACAGAACACCTGCAATCGGGAATAAATATAATTAGCAACATCTGAAAGGGGATGCATTTTCCCCAGGGAAATTGTTCTACTGCTATGTTTGTCTTTCTTGTATGCTTCCTTTCCCTGTAATTTCCCAGTGTTTCCTTGGGGTTCCAGGAGTTCAGAGATGTTTACATGGTTGAGACCTGCTGTTCCCCAGCCCCCAGTGGGTTATTTTACTCTCAGGCTTTCTGTCCAGTGGCCAGAGAAGCTTTTTCATGCTTAAGTCAGCAGTGGCCCTCTCTTATTCTGGTAGTGAAGGATGGAGAAGCAGAGAGAATAAATTATCTTCTACTTTTCATATGTTTATAGATTAAGCTTTGAAATATTTTCCCAAGAAGAATGTAGCAAGAAAGAAATTGAAGCCCGCTAACTCCACCCCGACAATATGAAACTAAAGTTTTGCCTCTTTGGAATGTTCCATTCACCTTTTTGGTATAACAGCCACGTTTCAGAAGCAAGTTAAATGGTGGCTTAGTCATACAAAAAAATAACCAAAACAGTCACTATATATATAATGCCATGCTTCAACACTGCAGAAACAGTCAAAGTCGCCAGAAATACAGACCCACAGAGAAGGCTTTCTCTTTGCAACTTCTCTGGCCCATCTACAGAAGGAAATTAGCCTGGGTGAAGCTGCCAGGGTGTCTCTGGGAGCTCTGAGGGATGGCAGTCCTACAGGTACCTCATTCGGCTTTGCGGCCTAGAGGGAAGAGAGACGCCGTTAAATAATCAATATTCTGGTTCATGCTGTTAGAGGTGCCTCCTAGGCCTTCCTCTTTGACTTCATGTAAGTTTCTGGATTTTGGTACAACAGTAACTGAAATTCTAGGGTTTTTTTTTTTAAAGAGAGGCAACCATTTTATATAAACTGTTATATTTTTATTTATCTTAATGAATTAGGAATTTTGCCTTACATGAGTAAAATGAAGAGAAATTCTATGATTAGCTTAAGATCCATTCGGAGTTTTTGCCATTTCTTGTAAATCTTAAGCTTCTTCTCTCTCTCCTTTCCTTACCATACCCAGTGACTTCAGGGAAAGGCAAAGAAAAGGGATAGGAGGATACAACAGGCCTGTGTGTCCCCACTCAAGACGTATGCCCTGGAGAACGCTGAAGTGGTTCTCTTTGCCTGCTCTGTGAGAATATGGTTGTTTGATGGATCAGAATGCTACTGTCAGTCATTGGACTCTGTCTCTCTCTTTCTGTCTTTGTGCATGGCTTCCAACCAAATAATTCACCGGCTTGACTGCATCACAGACTTGACATGTCACCTTTCTTGTTTATGTCCTTTGTCACCCGCAGGTCAGCTTGCAAGGTTGAATACAATGTCCTTTTATCACTCTCCTCTCAAGTAAGTACCCTCTTATTTAGAAGGAAATGTGGCCACTGTACACCGAATTCTGATAACTTGTAACCTAAATTCACAATCACTTTCTCCTAGGTGTTTCTATGTGATAAAATATCCTCCTTCCTTGCTTTTGTCAAAGAATCTTCTCAGCCTATGGAGCATTTCATTATAATTTAGTGGAGATTTGGCAAACAACCTTGGGAATTGACTTTTTAACTCTATTTATTAGGAAAAATGGCACAGAAACGTCTATAACACCAGAGATGCCCTAGAAATATTCCGTGGCTATGGAGCTGCGTCACCAATCCATTAGAGCACCCAAGTTAAAGCCTATCACTTGAGAAGGAAAAGTCCAGGCTTGCTCAGCACTTCCAGAGATGGGTCAGCTCCTTAGTCATGCTGTCCTCAGGGCCCAAAAGTCAAAGGTGTGTCCCTTAACAGGTGAAAGCAAAACTGAAACTAAAGCAAAAACAAAAAAAGCAAAGCATAGAGGAAAACACCAACAGCTTTATATTTTTTGGGCTAGCTGATTCAAATGCATTGTGGAATTCAACAAGATATAACAATTTAGAATATCATTTATGTGGCATTTGCTCAATAGAGAGAGAATACCACTTGACTGGCAGGATCACTTGAGTGGAGTGATCTGAAATTTAGGCTCTGGACTCTATTAATATGAGTTTTACCAAATCCTAACAGTATAGCCTTGAACATATTATTAAACCTCTATGAGCCATCATTTTTTCTACACAACATACATCATAATACCTATCTCATAGAGGAGTTGTCCTCATTGGGATATAGTTTTTAAAGAACTAAACATAGTGGCAGGCACACTATAATTTTAAGGAGCACGTGCAAACAAGCAATTCAGTTTCTAGGAGCCGCTATAGTTATGATGTATGGGAACCCCTGGGACTCAGAACTAGCTTGCTCCCTCTATTTTTATAAACAAGGCTAAGACTCAGCTATGTGCAATGATTCGATACAGCTACAGCTACACTGCCCCATAAGTCTAGATGGTTTCTCTGGCTCCAGCTAATGGCCACTTAGATATCCTTCATTACAGTTCACAGCCAATACACCTCTCACAGTTATCTGGCCGCACTGGCCCAAGGACTTGTATCTACCGTAGTTATACAATCTTTCCCAACCATGGAATTCCATAAGCCTATAGTACCGTTGATAGTAGACTCAACTCTGGCTGCTAAATTAAAAAAGGGATATATATATTCTAAATGACATATCTATCGATTAGTAAAGATTACATCCCAGCTCAAATACCTCCTGTCTCAGTCTTCAGGTTAAGATTAAGTAAGTAAAAACCATAGCATAATTGCTATTATGAAATACACTTTTTGAGCTGTGAGGCCCTTTTTGTGTGAAAGGAAGGATCTTAACTGACTGCATTTTATTCTGCCTCCTTTGGGTTGGAGAATGCTATATACCACATGCTCTCCTGATACATTACGACTACAGTGAAAAAATTCCCAGGAGCTGTTTCTGAAAATATTCACTCTGGTTATAACAAATCTAGCCCCAAAGGAGCAAGCCTTTTCTTTTAATAGCATTTTCTCTCTTAGCTCCAGCAATTTGATCATTTTTATTCTGCACATTATTTAAAGAGCAGTAGCTAGTTCTTAGAAAAATATATTTTGTAAAAAGCCTAATAATTTGTCCTTGACATAAACCCAGATAAAAAGTAGCTTTTGTTTCTTATACTGAAAAGCCAAAAGTTTCAGTACTTTGAAAGTTCTTAGGCCGTTTTTAAATCTTTGGTATAAATTTAGCCGTGAAAATTTTACATAACTGTGGCATCTGCCATTTAATGCATCTTGTACCTACCTAGCTGGCATTCCACAGGACTCTTAACATGAACCAGCCTGTCACTAAATCAACCACTTAGGCAAAATTCCTTTAAAATCTGATAGAACCCTGCAGAAGCTAATGGCTTTTCTTCTTTGCAGGTAGTTCTACTGTAATTTTTCTTGATGTAGCTAAGAAATACAGCTGGAATTTTAGAGCAGTTTATGGTATTAAAATCTGTTTGTTTGACTTTCCGACTATGCTGCAAGACCAGAAATTATCCAAAATATATGCCTCTCTTATCCAAGGGTCCTGAAGCTGACTTCATCGGTTTCAATTACATCTCTACTGACAAAGCCCTACATGGGTAAGGGGCAGAAAGTGATACATCAGAAACATGAAAGACCCATTTCATCCTCTGCTCAAAGAGAGCTTTAGGTCTATTTGAAGATAAATATAGACTTGTTAACACACTAACAAGAGTGAATAGAGTAAAACCTGGTTTATTGCTTTTCATCTAGCCACTTTGGAAGGAACAGTATACATAAAGATTAGCTCTCAACTTAGAGTCCACCAAAACTCCATCTTGGCCCACTCAAATCTTGGATTTGTCCCTTGTCCATCTATTTAGCCATATGGTATTCTACTCCTTGGCCAGCCACTTCCTAGAAATCGGAGGATTGCAAGATCGAAAGTGAACTTAAAAAATATTTTTAATTAGCATGGCATTCTCATGGTGAGTCAGTGCTCTCATCTCCTTGTCCAAAGGACAGCACAAATATCTCTGTTTACATTGCTTTAACCCCCCATATGTCACAGATATCCACTAAGGAAGAGATTCAACATGGAGGATTCTTGTCCTTTCTTTCAGAAGGTGCAATAGCGTACAGTGTCCCAGGACATTCATTCCCAATTGTCAGAGGAAGGGAGTAGAGCAAGTGTGTGTGTGTGTGTGTGTGTGTGTGTGTGTGTGTGTGTGTGTGTATCGGGGGAAGGGGGAATCTTAAGCTTCATAACCCTGATGTAGAGAACAGTTTTCATTTTTAAAAAGAAATTACACATTCCTTATTCCCAGGCAAGCTATAGTCAGACAGATGATGACAATAACACGAAAGCTGGTGATGAAGGGGAGTGCTGCACCCACCCACACAGAGGAGAAGACAGCAGCCTGACAGCATCCTCACCGAAGAGAGGAACCACCACACGCAGCAGCTCCTGACAGACCCACCCCCCCACACTCCTAAAGACGTGTTCTGCTGACTATAGTGCAGCTAACTTTTTGTTCTAAGATTTGTAGTTCATAAGTGTGTGTTTTAAGAAGGAAAAAAAAAAAAAGACTTCTGTTCAAAGCTAACTTATCAGCTACATCCTCTGTAACATAGCTCATCCCTGGTTAAAAACAAACAAAAAACCACAGGCTGAAAACCCATGCTGCTGTTACTCATGATGGCAGTATTAACAAGCATTTAAAAACTTTGCACATGATATTGATCCTGTTCAGTTTACAATGACAATACTAATACTGTTTATAGCTAGAAGTTTGATTTCTGAATTCTTTGAGATTTTAGCAAAACAGTTTATTATACAATGTACATTTTTTTTTCCACAGCAGTTGGGAAAAAACAACCACTTGCAATTATTCCCTGACCCTGAAGGATTTGGTTCCTGAGTGTACAAACTCAGAGCCCAGAAGCCAAGAAGGGCCTTTGGCCTGCATGGTCTGCAGTTGTGTCCAAGTCTCTGTGAGCAGTGACTTGAACCAAACATCAGGATAATCCAGTCTCTGGGGCTTCTTTCCAACTTGAGGTTGTTTTCTTTCAAGATACTCTAATGAATCAGCCATAGAATTTAGTGTAAATATTTTTTCCAAATAGATATCATATTCAAAAAAGGCAACATTCAAATTATATAGAATCTAGTTTTTAAAATCAGCACAGATCTTCTTAAAAAAAAAACTGTGAACTATGTTTTGAAATACTCGTTACTAAAGCTGTTTATAAACCACAGGTGCCATAAAACCCCCAAACAGACTAAAGTGATTTCTGCTCTTCCACAGTCTTGTTCCTCTTGTCTTAGCTTTAGGGAGCATGTCTCTAACAGCACCGCTCATCCACAAGTTCCCCTATCAGGTTGTTTGGAGGCCTTCAGCTTTAAATGTACAGGCTTAAAGTGCGCTTGCAAAAATGTTCACTCTCCTTTTATTTCTGAATGTTTATTGCCTTAGCTGGCTACTTGGTGTTCTGCATGCAGCCTTCTGTGGTCATGTGAAAGGAAACAGGCTCTTCTAAGTTAAATTGGGATTTTGCACTCATGCAAAAGCTGATGTGCAAAAGAACTGTCAAAGACGGAGAATGAAATGCTCTGTTGACGGTCCTTTATTAGGGCCTTCTTTGGGGAGTGCTAAAGGCCTCCCTTAGGGATTCTTGGGAAATGAAAAAAATAACCTATTTTTTCAAGGTTTGATGAAATAAAAATCCAGCAACATATTGGATACATTATACTTAAATTGGTAGCCTCTCTGGAATTCCTGCTTTTCCTTTAAAAGAGACAACAGTAGTTCTCAAAGTGTGTTCCCTGGACCAAATGCATCAGCATCACCTGGGAATTTATTTAGAAATGCAATTCTTAGGCCCCAATCCAGGCACACGAAATTAGAAACTCTGGGGGATGGGCTCAGCAATCTGTGTTTTAATAAACCCTCCAGGTGATTCTGATACACGCTAAAGGTTGAGAAGCACTGCTTTAGAATAAAGTTGTATAATGAAATCTCTGAAAAGGCCTTATTCTGAATAAGCAAGAAAGGTTCTGAGTCAACCTCAAAGCTTCAGCGATTCGAATTTGCTTCCAGGGCTGGCAAAAACCTCCCACTCACACAGTCAGTAGTGGGTAGGTGCCCAGCTGAGAACAGACATCATGTCATCTTTCAGCTCCCTCTCCAGAGGGCTCTAAGATGTTCCTGTCTCTGCATTTGGTCAGAAACCATCTCCTTGGCTGCCCTTTGGAACAAAATCACTTGCCTTTGGGACAGTAAAGCTCTTGGTTGGCCTTAGCAAGGAGACCATTCTGTCCATTGATGTACTTAATCATACTTCCTTCGAGAGAATGTCCCTGAGAACAGGCTGACACCAAAGTGGCACAACTGCACAGTTCTCAGATTTCTTTGCACAGATGGATTTTATTGCGGGTTTTGTTGGTATTTCTTAATGTTCATCTCCTTTCCACTGCCCATCTTCTGTGAAACCATACCTCTCTAGATGGAGCAGGTGGTCCGTGGTGCCTCATACTCAGTACTTAAAACCACTACATCCCAGTTACCTACATTGCCGTCAGCTCTAAATCATAGCCAGGTAGTTCTTGAACTCAGAATCTCTGCCCCTGCAAGTGACATTCAGCCACTGACTGGACCGAGCTGACATCTGTTGTCACTTTATGTTTCTACATTAAAACGTTTGTCTAAGGTTTGAACTGTTTTGCTGATAATCTTCTCCCTTGTCATAGCTTTGATTGCCAGCTCCGTCACACGGTTGTTGATACCATCATACAGAGCCATTGCAAGGACTCTGGAAACTGCTGCCAATGACCAATTCCTGACTAACCAGCCACCTTTTCTTTCTCTTAGCTCCACGTCAGCACTGAGACCAGACTCAAGCACCCTTGTCCTGTAATCGAGACAAAATGGCGTGTATTGTTTTGGGTTTTTGTGTTTTTTGGTGGGTTTCTTTCCTTGGCTCTCCAAATTTACTTTTGGGGCCTGTTCTAAGTGCAAACCCAGCAGGTCTTACCTGTCCTGTCCATTGGATACAATTATATCTTTCGAGGGGTGTTTCTTTCTTGTTCCACAATGAATTTGCACATCCGTCTCCATCAGAGATGATAGCCTATTAACGAGCACTGGTCTAACAGCCACCCCTCCTCCACAGCACCATGTTAATGGAGGTAGAAAGGAGGGTGGAATCTACTGTATGGGATTCAGGAATCAGTTACGGTTGGTCAGGATGGAAGTTGGGGTAAGTTTGGTTGGTCAGAGGGAGATGTGCTGGAGATTGTGAAAAATGGATTCTCAGATGATAAGGCAGGGAAGGTTCATTTGTAAGTAGTAATGTGAACTGAAATGCATAAGAGTGTGGCCTTTGTTATGATAGAGTATGTATTTTCTTATATGCATGAGCCAAACTGTTGCATCATAATTGAGCACTGATGTCTGCTTTTATTTTGATCATCTTTGTCTACCCTTATTAGTTCTTGGCTGTTAACTGTAGATAAACCTTGTAAATACGGCAACTTTTGGTTGCTGCAATGAATCACCTTGGTTTGATTCCATGCAAAGAGCCACAAACAAGAACTCCACTGTGTCCTCAGAAGAAAGGGCATTTTTACTTTTGAACCAAAAAGAGAAAAAAAGTCAGAAGCATTACATCTTGAGGCTATTTAACTATAAGACATTTTTAATTATGACTACTGTAATTTGACTCCATTTGAAGTAACCAATTCAGAGACCCTAAAGATTTCACAATATTCATTGGTATTGTAACACAACTACAATCGTATAAGTTTTTGTATTGCTGTTAAGTATTGTTTTGTGTGTGCGTGTGTATGTGTGTGTGTGTGTGTTGGAACCTCCTGGGGACATGTTATATTTTGAAGTGATTAAACTATTTAATTGTGTGTCTATATTTTGGAATGGAATTATTTCTTCATTAAAAAATGTTTTTAAAAACACTATATCTTGTGTATTTTATTCCTTTGTTTCAGTGAATCTTTTCTGAAGTAACATGGAGTCAGTCTGTTCAAAGGAGAAATCAGTACTTGCAACGTGAAGCAGGAACTATCCATTGGGTATCAAGCAACTGAAGCAAAATATCTCATCTTTGGGAACACAATTTTTTAATAGAAAGCCTTGGAATCAATATGGGGTTGAGTTTGAGAATACTAACAGCTAACATATTTAGTGCTTACTTTTTATCAGACACTGTTGTAAGTTACTTCACTTCCTCCTTTAAATCCAGAGCATCTAGCCAGGTACTTGGCAAATATTATATGCTCAACAATTATTTGTTGAGTGGATGAACAAATGAATTGCTGGCTTTTTTTTTTTGGTTGTGCTAGGTCTACTGAGAAAGGAGAATCAGCATTTCAAACAAATTCTCAGATGATGTTGATGCTTGTCTGAGGACCACACTTTGAGGTGCAAGGCTAAAGAGTTCTTTTAAATAAGTCAAATAATGGGGAGATTGTTACTGGTAAACAAGGCACAATAATCTACCCCTAACCTTTGGGGATTCCTGTACATAGCAAATAAAGATACTCAAGTCTAAGGACATGAACATAATGGAAGCTCTGTTGTCTTGAGCCAATCAGGTAACATTGCAGCAGTTAAACCACACTAGGAGCACTGGAAGCAGCTGTATTTAAGAATTCTGCCAAAGAAGAAGCTTTCGTTCCAAGAGCTGAGGCCTCTGTACAAGAACTCACCCAGGAGTAGACTCCATGAGCCTAATAGTCCCTAAAAGGCAGATTGGCAAAGTTGGGATTGGGTCAAATTGGATAAGGAGAAGTTGGCAACATTTCAGAGTCATCATTCCAACAGAGTACATGAACTTCAGAGATACCCAGGGAGAGGTTCTCTAGGTACCTTAGGAACCTGGGATCCTGCCCTCTGAGACTATTATGCCACAGACTATGCTAGGACAACTATGCTATGATGCAGCGTGCACACACACACACACACACACACACACACACACACACACACACACACACACACACACTTGAAACCCCAAAGATACATATGCAATTAGAACTGACCTAAATGAACAATAATGTAGGAGCACTTAGATTATTTATGGCATGATATGGTAGGCTGGACAAGCCATTAGAATGATGATACAGAGAGATATTTATCAACATGGAAGATGTAAGTCAAGCAAAAAAATAAAAGAGTGTAAGAATAACCCAATTGTTAAAATATGTAAGTGGCTATGTAGAGAAAAATACTCAGAAAAATATATACTAAAAGATTGATAATCTAAATCATGGGATTATGGATGTTTTTTTTTATTTTCTTCATCATGTTATTCTATCTTTTTCAGGTTCTGTACCATAAATAGAGTAGATTGAGTGGATATGTAAATGGATAAGAAACACTTGAGTTGAACAGTTTTTTTGATTTGGTAACAAGACTGCTTGAGTTGGCCAATGTCTTGGAAAGGTATGTCTAACAATGAGAATTTTCTATGCCTTCAGTAAACAAAGGATTCTTTTTGCCTGTAGAGATCCTCAATAGCATTATTACGCTATAGAACATTGGAAGATTTGTTTGTTTTACTTTAAAGAAAATCTAATAAAAATATTGGAGGCTTGAATCAAGTTAAATAATGACAATATTTGGTCCAGCTCCCAACCCTAATTGGTACAGTACAAAAAAATTGGGTAGATACAAAGCAGTAATGCAGGCCATGCAGATATTCTCTATCTCTGGTTCTGCTGTCTCATGTGTCAAATGGGGCTAAATCATACCTATGCCTGGCTCCTCGGCTTTCGGGTCTCCTGATTGTGCCCCACAGGAGGAGTGCTACTACGGGTAAGTCTCAAGCAAAAACAATTATTAGAACCCAAATGGCACTAGGTAAATGGTTTCTTTGACATTCATTTTTTTGGAAGTCTCTTTGTGACTGTTCTTGCTTGATAACAGCTATACTCTGAGAATATTTGGAAAGGGCCCAGTAAACCAGCTATCTGCTCTAGACTTCAAAGTGAAACTTACTTTTGCTTCCTTTGGAATTTTTTCCCTTGGCAAACACCTTTCCTAGAGCAAAAGTAGGCCAAGAGGATAAGGAAAAAGGTACAGGCTCAGGTGTCCCTGCTTTGGGCCTCTAGGCAGAGGGAGACCTCCATACATACTAGTTCCATTCATCTGCTGTGTGGACCGAACATCTTATGGTAATGAAGAGTGTTCATTTGCCTAAATCTGCCCTCATCTTTATCCATTCTCTGCCAAATAACCTAGATTTATAATTAATTTTATGCATCTATCTTTTACATCATGTAGGAAATAAAAAGTGGTATTACAAGCAAAAATACAATTATGTTCCATTTTCACCCAAGTGGTTGTATCGCAATTCAATGCTGACAAAATTAACACAGACCCCACAGGTTAAGGGCAGGGTCCTCCACAAGATTGCCCCCACTTCAAATGCCAGTCACAAGTCTCAGTGATGCACACTTCTAAATGACTGGCTATAAATTCAGGAATTCCCACTACACCTTCAGGTTTTGTTAGAACAACTCACAGAATTCACTGAAAGCATTACACTTTCTATAACAGCTTTATTATAAAGGATGCAGATCAGGAACAGCCAAATGAAGATATATACAGGGCAAGGTCTGGGGGAATAGCGGTAGGACACAGAGCTTTCATACCTTCTCTTTGTGGAATCTGGGCAAGCCACCATCTGCACATCAGTGTGTTTACGAACCAGAAAGCCTGAGTCCAGAGATTTCATTGGGATTGCATTATGTAGGCATAATTGATTAACCAAATGAAGTCAGTCTGCAGACCTCCCCCACCTCCTTCCCAGAGGTCAGGCTAGCCCAAATTTCCAACCATCTAATCACAGGGTTCTTAATTCTGTTGACCAGCCCCCATCCCAAAGCAGTCTAGAGACCCACAATGAGTTACTTTATTAGTGATAGGCATAAAAAACATTCCTATCACTTAGGAAATTCCAAGGATTTTTGAAGCTCTATGCCAGGAGCCAGGGACAAAGGCCAGATATTTTCTCCATTATACTACATGATAATAGTCAATTTTATATTTGCCTGAGTACTTTTATTGGTGACCTTTATTTCTTCATACAGTATCGTTACTGCTAGTGTCCCTTCACCTCAAATTAAGAACTTCTTTTAGCATTTCTTGCAGGGCAGGTCTATTGGTAATAAACTCCTTGAGCTTTTATCTGGGAATGTCTTAATTTTTCCCTCATTTTTGAAGGAGAGTTTTACCAGATATAGAATTCTTGGTTGATAGTTTTTTTTTCTTTCAGCTCTTTAAATATGTCACCCCACCACTTCTGGCTTCCATGGTTTCTAATGAGAAAATGACTGTTAATCTTACTCAAGCTTCCCTGTACATGACAGTCCCTTCTCTCTTGCTTCTTTCACGATTTTCTCTTAAGTCTTTATCTTTCAACAGTTAGATGACAATGTGTCTCAATATGGATCTCATTGAGTTTATCCTACTGGAAGTTTGTTGAGTTTCATGAATGTGTAGAAACAAACTCCACAGATGATTTTGCAAAATCAGTTAGGATGTCACTGCAATAATCCACACAAAAGAGATAATGATAGTTCAGCCTAAGGGAAGAAAGTGGTCAAATTCTAAATATATTTTGATAGTAGAACCAAAAGATTTTGTTTATGGATTGGATGTGTGTGAGAGAAAGAGAAGAAACAAAAAGGATACCACAATTTGGGAGCCCAAATAACTGGGAGAAAGGAGTTACATTACTGAACTATAAATGACTGGGGAGAACAAGTTTTGGATGAGAGGAATTTCAGAAGCACAGATCTGGACATAATATATTTGAGATGACTGTTAGACATCCAAGCGAAAAGAGGGAATAGGTGTTAGAAATCTAGGCCTAGAATTCAGGAAGAAGTCTAGACAGAGCTTTAAATCTTGGCATCATCAGCATAGAGATGATAAAGGGGACCAAAAAGGAGTGGTCAGAAAGTTAGGAAGAATATCAGGAGCTGCAGTGTCCTGGATGCCAAATGATGAAAGTCCTTCAAGGTGGAAGGTACGATCAACTGTGCTGAATGCAGCTAATAAGTAAGGAAAACCAAGAACAAGGAATTGACACATTACATGTATAAATTAACTCAATCACATTTGAAGAATCTCTTTGCTATTCATAATTTCTATGTTCTTAATAAAATCTGGAGGAACACTGAGTAGAAATTCGTTTCCTATTCCTCTCAGGGCCTTGGGGGAATTGTTGTGCAGCATAATAATCCACAGGGTTGACTCCGAATTCCATCTCCATACTCCCTCAGAGGCCTTCATTCCCGTTTAGGGACATCAACACACAAAGACGACACTGACAACTTATGTATTGCGATAGGCACAATAACTTGATAATGACCCTACTGACTCTTCAAAATGGCACTTTTTAAGGAATATGGTATACTAATTGTTATTTTTGGAAAAGGAACCTTTTTTTTACTGATGTTGGAATGTCGTCTGCCTCAGTTATATTTCAGAGGAAGAAAGAGAAAAATAAAACTCTCCCCAGCTCTCTGGATATATGAAAATAAAGTTTAAAAAATGTCTCTCCCATCATATGGCAACGTGTGTTTGTTTGCCATTATCTATTGGTTGCTTTGAAAGCTAAATTTAAGGAAACAATACATGTAAAGCACCTATCAAGGTTCCTGAACATGAAGTAAGCTCAGCTTATGTCAGTTCCTTTTCTTTTCTCCCCTGTGAAGTTTACGATCCTCATTCATAAAATGGGGGCACTAGTTATGTTTTCAGAAAACTCACACAAAAATAAATTTAACTTAAAAACAAATATAAGGAAATCTATTCAACACCATTAGCAATGAAAGACTAGAAATTAAAACATTGGTATACAGGGGGATTTAATGATCCTATAAACACTAAAATCTGAGACCCTCCAGCCAGCTTTCCCCACTAGCACACAGAACTCGGGCAGCCAAGC